GAACTTTTTCTTTGTTTCCGTCACTCAAATATGTTGGAGTCTGACTCAAACCACCCAGCCAAAGACACCCAAATTCTTTTGAAACTTGTTTGGCAAGATCACACGAGGCTTGGTTCACAGACTTGACCTAAAATGAAAATTTAGGATCATGAATGGAGTACATTAAGGACCATAGAGTATGGGTGAAGGCCACAGAACCTTTTTAGCCTTCTTTACATATGCTTTTAGAAAAACTTGAGCAACTTCATCTTTATTGGACTCAACCTTTTGATGATCATGGTTGAGTTTCAAAACTCAATTCAAGATTGGGGCTGTTGTATTAACAGCCATAAAAAAGCCTTACAATAACCTCAATTATAATCAGACAACTGAAAATATCAGGAATCAAAGCCAAGCAATCGATGATCACCACATGCATTTGAATGGTCACATTTATCCTGTAATATTAACAATAAAATCCTGAATTGTTAAAACCAACCCCTATTTTTTTGCCAGCATCGTTTCCTCGGTTATCTAGCTTGTCTTCACTGGCATAAAATGTGAATGCTTGCGCAATGTCTGATCCAGCACGACAGAATTCTCTGTGTAACTGCAGAACTACAAAATGAATGAGCAAAAATCAATTAATATTTACATAGCTTTAGACTGTATATATATAGCTCTATCAGTTCTAAACTGTTCTCCTTAGGAGGTCCAGTGACAGTGTTACTATAGGAGGAAACCTAAACTAAACAAACATTATTTATACTGGATAGCTCTATCAGTTCTAAACTGTTCTTCCTAGAGGTCCAGTATTAAGTGACATCTCATATTGTTCCAGTGTGATGACAGGAGGAAAAAATTAAACCAACTTTATTTATACTGGATAGTTCATACCAGTTCTCTTCAGAGGTGCTGTAACAGTTACAAGTCCTTATTGATGCAGTGTTATTATAGTACAATTGGAGAAACATTCCGATATAAACTATGGATAAGCTAGACTGCCAAATTCAAGAATATTGAATATACCTGCTTCAGGATGTTCAACTGACGCTTCAGGCGTCCACGGTCCTGCTTTGACGTAACCTCTCTTCTCTAACGCAAAAACAAACCCACCATCTCCGATGACGACCTCACCCGCATTCAGACGTTCAAGTATACCTCGCTAGATGAAAAATAATGTTCAAAAGAGGACGATGAATAAATACCTATTTCCACTGTGGGGGAAGTATGGGTGACAGGACCTGATAAAGGGGCAGGGGTAACTGTCCCCCCCCCCCCCACAAACATTGCTGTAAACTAACGTTTTCAGGAAATCTTGAAATCAACAGAAATCAGGAAATCAGCTCAGAAATGAAGCAATTTTGAAATCTTGTGTGCTCTGGAATGGTTGCTGGAATTGTCGAGTACTTTATCAAACTTTAGCGAGGTAAACTTTACTCAAGTGTGAACTTGAAACCATCATCAGGCGTAAAAAAATACCTGTGGTTCTGGTTTCATATTGCGAAAAAATTAGGTTGGAAATAATTTTTTTTTTATAATTTTATAATTTTTTGATAACGCCATTTTGGCAGCAGCCCGCAACCACCCGGAGAAAATAGGGTCGCACGGTCAATCGTGTTGAAAAAATAATAGGGTCAGCGGAAAAAAATAGGGTCGGTCGGGAACCGGAACCACAGGTATTTTTTTTTACGCCTCGTGCAATATATTTGACAAAGTTCACATTGTTTTATTGAAATATAAACACTGCAGAAATCAATGCAAAACAATAGTCTTAATACCGTTCAAATATTATCAGCACAGCTAGAAAGAAATTCAAGGATCTGTTAATTGGTTTGTTTCAAGGCCCTTTAGGGACAGACCATTAGAAAAGTGATGGAGAGGGTGGGGAAAAAACAGAAAAAAAATCCATGCAAACAAAAAAGGTTTGAAAAAAATACATGCAAACAGACTTGTTTAAAAAAAAAATTACAAACAAACCAACAATAGAACTTTAATTTTAAATGTACATCAGACAAAATTGAACTAAATCTTTGGAATATTTCAGAATATAAATATATCAAAATATATAATATATTAATATGCAATTTCTTTCAATATTAACAGTAACTCTTATGTAGTTTTATTATATACTATCAAAATATTTTCTATTGTATTTAATAATTAATTCTCATTCACACTGCCACTGTCCTCAGTGGCGTAACTACTATGGGCTCGGACTGGGAGAATCCGGGTGCCACCAACCCCAATGGGCCCGCAAATGGGGGGCCCCAGGCTCAGGCTATAGAGCAAAAACATTGGCCAAGGGCCTCTGATATGTTACAATGGTGTTTTCTGACCATCAGAATTCTGTAAAATCTCTCCCCAAAGTCCGGGAAATGGTATTTCAGAGAATTTAGATTCAAAAATTTTCCGGGTGAGCATCCTCTGGACCCCTAGAAAACTTGTCCATATATGGTGCTTAAAGATATAATTTTGCAGTGTGTATTAAAGGGATATTTTTTTGTCAAAAGAACAGTTTCGTTAACATCTGTATAGTTGTATTGGAAAAAAAATTGCATGCGAGAAGACATATTTAAAAAAACATGCATACACAGCTGACAACCTGGAAAAAAAATGCAAACAAAAAAAATTTACCCCCCCCCCATCACTTTTCTAATGGTCCGTCCCTTACCTCCTAACCTCCCCAAATTATTTTTCATACCAACGATACCAATGAAAATTGGCATTCTTTGAAATAAACAAACGTTTGCAGAGGATCGCGACGGACCATGTTAAACTCACTAAACTCAGCTAACCTAGGATTTTCAAAGCTGATGTGGACGACGGTCTACTCATTCTACTGTAGATTGAAAACTTAAAAAGAGATATTACTCTTCAAAGAATCACGGCTTTTGTAGACTGTAGAGCATTCCATGAGCTCATTGGGGCGGTTTAAATGTAGGTTTTGCCCAAATTTAGATTCAGGTCATATGATTATGAACCAGTATATAAAGTTTGGCCATAATATTTGTAGTAAAACAAGAGTTTAGATCAGCTCAGATTACAAGTTAGAACATGTATTGTATTCATTGGAGAAACGTAACACGCGATATTTTCGGTGTTTGGTTACATGTGTCCAAAATATTTGTCTCGATTTCCACGATTTGTAGCACAAATCTAAGCCTTGAAACATATGCATTTGAAAAGCAGATCGTTTGTAGAATAAATAAACCTGAAATACTGCAAAATTCTAGCTAATTTAATATGTCTTACACGTGTTAAAACGCCCTAAGCCGGCTCAGTGTATTTCTCAATAGGCGATAAACACATGTGTACAACAGGTATAAAATGCACGACATTGTGAACGAAACATAACCATAAATTCACAAGAACAAATCGGAAACCACACTCACCTTTTCCGACATCTTTTCTACTCAGATCAGCTGGATTTGCAAAGAGAAAGTTATTCAACACAACTACACAAGAACCACAAGAATCACAGGGACTGAATTATATTCGATCCTCGTATTTTATATTTACGCCAACAGAACCAGTCTTGCAAAACTTGTTTGTCGGGTTTCAATAGTTGCGACATTTTAATTCTGGTTTTTATGCGCAAAATATTCAATACCTTTCCTTATGTGATAATCTTTGTTCATAGTTTGTGCTAAACCCACAATTTTCACAATCAAATGTGCAACGATGAAGGTCGAAGACGTAAAATGACCAAAATTAATTGGCAAATTCATTTTAAAAAAATTACCATTAAAAAAATTACGGAAATACATTGAGAAATACGATACCCGTACTTTTAATATATTGTAAATATATAAGGCTATATAAAATAAATTCCTTGATTCTCATCGCTAAATTTTAAAAACTCCCAGGAGGCGGGAGGTTTATATTTTATATTTTATGTCAAAATATAAAAAAAAAAGTTTAAAATTTAAAAAATTGGAGAGGAAGGTCTTTTTATATTTGCCCTTAAATATATTATAGAAGAACGCTATAGTGGATAATTGCACATGCGCTAATGAACATGCATAAGGGTCCACACAAATCGTTGTAATAAAGGCTATAAGCCCATTTTTCCCTTCAGTATTCCAAGCATCCCTTAACATGTTGCAATATTAACGATAAAACAATTTTATATCGCAAAAATTCCAATATAAAATATAAAAATAACTAAATCTCTGAAGATGCTCGGTCGGGCGGTAAATTTATATTTTATAACAAAATACAAAAATATATCAACGCGGAAACCAAAATATCGTCGGGCGGTGATGAGAATCAAGGAATTTATTTTATATGGCCTAAAGTGGAAAAAAAACAAACGAACAGTTACGCAATGAAACAGGTTTTGAAAGCCACTTTTATGTCGGGATTTTGTAAATTTGCAACCATGCTTTGCTTCGATTCTGGGCTGGTGTGCAGTGTGCACAAATGCAAAACTACCGCTTGTTGAGCTGTTGTTTACCTCATGTAATTTGATGAGGCCCTCTGAGAGCGTGAGAGGCCCTTAAAAACTTGTAGCTCAGTTGGTTAGAGCGCAGAGCTGCAGGTTCCATTCCTTCCAGAGGGCCTAATGGTCCCGAATGATCTTTATTCTGTGTCCTGGTTAGTGGTTAGGACTGATAAATGTTAATAAATTGTAGAAAACATACTCGAAATTTCTATCCAACAAAAACCCTTGGTTGTGACCTTGGCATGCCTTCGACAACACCTCCGCAACTCCCCAAACTTGTCAAACAAGAATTTCCGGTTTGACTCTATTTATAAACAAACCAGATTTTGGAACACAATGTGCCATCCAGACTAACCGAGAATCGAACGATAAAAGCTGTTTTGTGGATTAAAATGGCCTCCGCAAATCAGGCCATGTTTGCGACAGGAGCCATGCTGCGTAGACGATTTGGTTTGGCAAAAATATCAGCTCATGTAAACGCATTTACTGCCAGATCCGGCTTTGCAGGGGCGAGCGACAGGCGATCGTATAATACTAATGGGTTTGTACCTACAAATTTCTAGAATTACGAAATTAAACACTCGTCCTGGCATGCATGGATAAAGCTGGGAATTGAAGTGTACAAATGTGAAAAAGGCGTTGTACCATGATGTATTGTTGCCATGTGTAATTATTCTAATTAATAAACAGGGGGAAGGGTTATAGTTTAGAATTTTGCCTATTAAATATCAGGAGCAAGTCAATACCTCCCCCCCCCCCCTGCAAAGTTAAAACCAGTACAGCAAGGTACCACATGGCTCCCAACTTTGCATGTTTTAAAACGCATGGTACCTTCATAAAATTTTGATCTTTAACTTACAAAACATGTCCCATTGCTTGTGGGACTTAAGCATTTTCTGTGCATGTGCATGGAACTTTTGACTAACTCATGGACATTTATTGTGGCTAATGTTAATCAACTTGGTGTCATAATCTCTTAATAAAAATCTAACATTTGCCTTAACCCCCTCAACGAATGCCTGTGAGTTAGTAAAAGCAGTTGAGATTTATGATAGTTTTGTCCCACAACCATAGTGTAGGAAACCCTAAATAAATTGCAGTGATTATCCTGGTAAAATTTGTGTTAAATTAAACATTTACCGTTATGTGATACTATGTTCTATAAACCAATTATTGCTTTATCACTTTGCATTGCAAGGCATGTTATTTTTTTACTGTGTGTATACTAGTTTACATGACATTTGCTCGAAATGCCAAAGTGTTTCAAACCAGCTTATGAATATTACAGAATACTGCCCACAATAGACCTTAAGTCTGAGATATCTTTTTCAGATAGTTCATGCAGACAAAAACCATGGCAACTTATTGAATACTACTAATGCAAAACTTATATGCAAAAGAAGAAAAAGCATATTTTGTTTTAAACCAATTTGCAATGATAACAAGTAGAATAGTCTTTGACGTATATATTTTACACGAATTAAGACAGAAAATGCATTACATACTGCATATTTTCTTGCAATTAAGAACTCCGAAACTCAACAAGAGGTTAAAAGAGACGTCAGGATGTGTTGTTATCGGAGGTGGTATTATGGGAACCAGCATTGCATATCATCTGGCCAAAGCCGGGATGAAGGATGTTGTATTACTGGAAAAAACAGAACTAACTGCTGGCTCGACTTGGCATGCTGTAAGTTTAGTACTTAGGCGATGGTGGGTATATGGGTTAAGGCCCAGCTGGCAGTTCCGAGCAACCCCAGTAAAAAGGTTAGACTTGGTTCAAGTCCGTCTTAGGAGAAAGTATAGGGTGCGACTTTGGACATTACTTGCAAAAATTGGCAAGAAAACGTGTTGTTGTAACTGTCAAGCCACACCTCCTTTTTTACATTGTTTCGTATTTTAGTGCCGTTTTTCACCGCTCATGTGAATTGCTTTCAACCCCTTGAGAATTGGATTTGAACCATCAGTCTATAAAGAGGTTTGCATTCAGAAATGCCCAGCCAATATAATTCATTGCGCTTCTGACATAAGGGACCATCAGAGTTTGTGTCATAACTCATAAGTTGCTATTTTATCGCCTATATGTTGCCATGTCAACATGATCATTGAGAAAACATCCACAGCTCCCCATGGAAATTTTCATATGTATGTGGGGTGCGCAACTTTGATGAAACAATCCAACGTCAGATTCCATTAATGAATTTCCCAGTAACAGTGCCCAAATAATTATATATTCTTGACAGGCTGGTCTCACAACAACATTTAATGCTGGCATCAACATGAAGAAAGTTCATTACTACAGCGTGGAGCTGTTCAAAACACTTGAGGAAGAAACTGGACAGGTTGAATTCAAATCATTTTAAGAAGTCTATTTTCCATCACCCATAATCGTGTCTGCTTACAACCATAGACTAAACACACCTTTTTCTGCAGGAAACATGGACCATTTGACATTACACATTTTTTTGTATCAAACCCTCTCTTCCAATCCTTTTACAATTGCATGTCATGCTGTTGATGTTCATGTAAAATTAGTTAAATTTCAAATGTAATTTAAATGCATTAATAGATAGGTAATCATCTGGTACCCACATTTACTTAAGTATTTCAATGTATTTACACTTGACATTATCTGTCAAACAGATGTTGTTTATTAAACCCATTGAGTGTTAGGACTTTCCCCTTGACAAGTAAAATTGTCTGGCGTTGGACAGAGTAAAATAATCTGACAATGGACACAGTAAAATACTAAATAATAGGGCGTATCAGGGTGCATTGCTGCTAAAGGGTTAAGGCCAAACATGTTGCGAAATTGAATAATCGTTCTATTTGAACCACACAGGAAATCGGCTGGCATGGCCCAGGCACACTGAGGTTGGCCTGTATTCCAGAACGTGTCGATGAACTAAAATACCAAACGGCACGTCAAGGTTGTCGAGAAGCTGAGCAGTATCTCATTGGTCCAGAGAAAATTGCAGAACTACATCCACTCTTGAATATGGATAAAGTTCTCGCTGCGTTGTACAATCCAGGTAGATGAAAGGCAATACGGTCGCGTTTCAAACACATTTGCAGAGAGAATAATACAGGACTGATAGAGATATTTAGTAAAAATAAAGTTAGTTCCCGCCTGTAGTAGTTAATTGGATCAATAAGGTATATAGCAGTTACTGGACATTCAAGGAGAACAGTTTAGATGTCTGGAGCAATGACCATGCATTACTTGACCTCTAGGAAGAACAGTGTGGAACTGATAGAGCTATCCAGTATATATAAATAAAGTTAGTTTAGTTTAGGTTTCCTTCTGTAGTAACACTGGATCAATAAGAGATGAGCCTTACTGTACCTCTAGGAAGAACAGTGTGGAATTGATAGAGCTATCCAGTATAAATAAAGTTAGTTTAGTTTAGGTTTCCTTCTGTAGTAACACTGGATCAATAAGAGATGATCCTTACTGGACCTCTAGGAAGAACAGTGTGGAACTGATAGAGCTATCCAGTATATATAAATAAAGTTAGTTTAGTTTAGGTTTCCTTCTGTAGTAACACTGAATCAATAAGAGATGATCCTTACTGGATCTTTAAATAGGAAAAACAGTGTGGTCCAACTGATAGAGCTATCCAGTATATATATAAATAAAGTTAGTTTAGTTTAGGTTTCCTTCTGTAGTAACACTGGATCAATAAGAAATGGATGATCCTTATTGGACCTCTAAGGAGAACAGTTAAGAAATGGTAGAGCTATCCATTATTACATTCTGTGACACATGTAGCATGTTATATATTTAAGGTGATGGTCATGTAGATCCGTACTCGCTCTCTCATGCCTTTGCTATTGGTGCACGACAATACGGTGCAGAGTTCTATATGCCAGCTCCAGTCAGAGGTCTTAATCAGCGAGAGAATGGAGAATGGGATGTGGAAACTGATCATGGGACTATTCACGCTAAACACATTGTGAATGCTGCAGGTATTGACAGACTTTATAGTCACATATAGACTAGTCAACGACTACAGTCATTCTACTCTGACTGACAGATTCTATCAGACGTTTCACAACATTCTTATCAGACTTGTCACATAGTCAATGACTACAGTCACTCTACTCTGACTGACAGATTCTATCAGACATGTGACAACATTCTTATCAGACTTGTTACATAGTCAATGACTACAGTCACTCTACTCTGACAGATTCTATCAGACGTTTCACAACATTCTTATCAGACTTGTCACATAGTCAATGACTACAGTCATTCTATACTCTGCCATATTCTATTAGACTTGTCACATAGTCAATGACTACAGTCACTCGATCTATATACTCTGCCACATTCTATCAGACATAGTCACGTAGTCAGTGACTACAGTCATTCTACTTTGCCACATTCTATCAGACATTTCACATTGTCAATGACTACAGTCATTCTACTCTGCCATATTCTATCAGACTTCTCACATTGTCAATGACTACAGTCATTCTACTTTGCCATATTCTATCAGACTTGTCACATTGTCAGTGACTACAGTCACTCTACTTTGCCACATTCTATCAGACATAGTCACATAGTCAATGACTACAGTCATTCTATACTCTGCCATATTCTATCAGACTTGTCACATTGTCAATGACTACAGTCACTCTACTTTGCCACATTCTATCAGACATAGTCACATAGTCAATGACTACAGTCATTCTATACTCTGCCATATTCTATCAGACTTGTCACATTGTCAATGACTACAGTCATTCTATACTCTGCCATATTCTATCAGACTTGTCACATTGTCAATGACTACAGTCACTCTACTTTGCCACATTCTATCAGACATAGTCACATAGTCAATGACTACAGTCACTCTACTCTGCCACATTCAATCAGACATAGTCACATTGTCAATGACTACAGTCACTCTACTTTGCCACATTCTATCACACGTTTCACATTGTCAATGACTACAGTCATTCTACTTTGCCATATTCTATCAGACTTGTCACATTGTCAATGACTACAGTCACTCTACTCTGCCACATTCAATCAGACTTGTCACATTGTCAGTGACTACAGTCATTCTACTTTGCCACATTCTATCAGACATAGTCACATAGTCAATGACTACAGTCATTCTATACTCTGCCATATTCTATCAGACTTGTCACATTGTCAATGACTACAGTCACTCTACTCTGCCACATTCAATCAGACTTAGTCACATAGTCAATGACTACAGTCATTCTACTTTGCCACATTCTATTAGACATTTCACATTTTCAATGACTACAGTCACTCTATACTCTGTCACATTCTATCAGACTTGTCACATGGTCCATAACTATAGTCATTCTTCCAATCCCGGCTAGGCGGGACGGGACAGTTGCCGAGTTCCTAGATCCTGCCTAAGCTCCCATACAAGCATCTCACTCAGTTATAACTGCAGGTTGATCACCATCTCTGTACGATAGTGCTTAGTGAAACCTACTTTCATGTAGGTTTTTGGTCACGTGAGATAGGCAAGATGGTAGGAGTGGAACATCCACTGTGCCCAATTCACCATCAATATATGGTCAGTACCACCATACCCGAGGTCGAGGCTCTGAAGACAGAAATACCAGTCATACGGGATCTCGAAGGTGGTTATTATGCCAGGCAGGAAAGACAGGGCATCCTGATTGGACCGTATGAATCAGTTGAGAAGATGAGGTTACAAGATGATTGGTAAGTGGAATACAACGGAATATTTAACCATTAAGTTGCGTTGCGAACTAAAGACGGATTTACACAACTTTGCGTAAAACTGTCGCAACCTGCTTACAAGTTGAGTTGTACTGTGTAAATCAAGCACACTACTTATCCACAACAACGTAGGTGAGTTGTGTGTTTGATTTACACAGTACAACTCAAGTTGTAAGCAAGTTCCATGCAACAGTTTTAGGCAAAAGTTAGATGTTTTACATAAATTTTCACACAACTAGGTGGGATGGTGTGCCTCCCAACTTTGGTAAAGAACTGTTTGAAAGTGACTTGGACCGACTCAGTGATCACATTGAAGCAGCTATGGAGATGATTCCTGTGCTGAAGACCGCTGAGATAGCGAGCGTTGTTGCAGGACCTATTACATACACCCCGGATGTAGTGGGCTTGTTAGGACCCTCGCATGAAGTTTATAACTATTGGTTAGCGACTGCTTCTGGATATGGTATCATTCATTCTGGTATGATTACAAGTTGAAATAATGGGCTCGGATTGTTTCATTGTCTTTCCCTTGTAGTTCAGACACAAACCACGACAGCTTATTGTAGAATACTACCTACACTGGATCACCACATTCGAGCTATCTTTTCCAGGTAGTTCAGACACAAACCACGACAGCTTATTGTAGAATACTACCTACACTGGACCACCACATTTGAGATATCGTTTTCAGGTAGTTCAGACACAAACCACGACAGATTATTGTAGAATACACCCACACCGGACAGCCATCTTTGACTATATACATTTTATTTTCGTTAAAGCTGGCTTTGCGCGGTATCTGACACATTGGATGATGCATGGAGAACCTCTTCATGAAATGAGTGATAACGACCCAGGAAGATACGGAAAGTGGACGACAAAAGATTATGTGCATGCAAAATGTCGGGAGACCTATGGTTTTAATAATATCCTAGTTTTTCCAAAAGAAGAAAGACCGTATGGCAGAAAGATGAGAATTAATCCAATATACGATGTAATGTAAAACTGACTCTACTGCATGGCTGTATCACTTCTAATCTGCCCCGGAGCGCGCGTCAATCGAGCAGCGAACATCTTCATCCGGAATCCCCAGTACCGCCGCCGCGCAGGTTCACATACGGACCCGTGGCGCTTCAACAGCAGAATCACAGCTGAAGCAGTCATCCGTATTTGAGGCCAATTTACCATCAGAAAATTGCATATTGTTAATCAAACCAGTGACGGAGGTGTAGGGTACATGTCTCACCAACAGCTTAAGCATTGCAAGGTTGTCCTGCTACCATAACCACCACCATCCTTTATCACCATCATCCTTTATCACCATCATCATCACCATCATCATCACCATCATCATCATCATCATCACCATCATCATCACCATCATCATCATCATCATCACCATCATCATCACCATCATCATCACCATCACCATCATCATCACCATCATCACCATCCTCATCACCCACCATTACCATCATAATAATAATTCCTGTTACTATTCTTAGAAACTAGTTTCGAAAGGAGCTGAGATGGGCATCCATGCCGGCTGGGAACAACCCAACTGGTTTGCAAAGCCTGGTGAAGGAGGATACGAACCGAGCTTCCGGCGTACAAACTGGTTTAAACCAGTTGGACGGGAATGTGAACTGGTTCTAAATAAAGTCGGTGTTATTGACCTGACACCATTTGGAAAATTTGAAATCACTGGTTCGCAAGCGACTGAATTTCTGGATTACATGGTCGCCAATAAGTTACCAAAGGTAGGAGAGAGCGGGCATGTTGTATGATATATAAATTGCCAAATGGATTGATTGTGAATTCGTATTGATAAGAACGTTCGTATTAAAATATCAATAACATTTGGTAAGAAAAAAATGAACTCAAAGTTTATGTAAATCAGCAGGGTTTTGTATCAGATTTTCATGCTCCTTCATGTTTTTCTGATGAGGATTACGTTGCTGACTAGTATTTTTCTGTATTTTCAAACAAGGTCGGATCAACAAATATAAGTCATCTGATCACACCGAGAGGCAGAGTCTACGCTGAGTTAACCATCACTACGCTTGCTCCAAATCACTACTTTGTTATCACAGGCTCGGGATCAGAGTACCACGATCTCAGGTATGTCAACCTTGCTTCCCTCACCTTCTCTGCAATGTCTACCACCCCACATCGTCCGATCTCTTCATTCCGTAATATCTCTGACCAGCTCTCCTTCATATCTTATTACGTGTCCATTCCATCTCAACCTTGCTTCTCTCATTTTCTCTGCAATATCTACCACCCAAATCTTCTTCTGATCTCTCAATTCCGTAATGTCTCTGACCAGCTCTCCTTCATCTCTTCTTATTACATCTCCATACCATCTCAACCTTGCTTCTCTCACCTTCTCTGCAATATCTACCACCTCACATCTTCTTCTGATCTCTCAATTCTATAATGTATCTGACCAGCTCTCCTTCATCTCTTCTTATTACATCTCCATACCATCTCAACCTTGCTTTTCTCACCTTCTCTGCAATATCTACCACCCAAATCTTCTTCTGATCTCTCAATTCTATAATGTATCTGACCAGCTCTCCTTCATCTCTTCTTATTACGTGTCCATACCATCTCAACCTTGCTTCCCTCACCTTCTCTGCAATGTCTACCACCTCACATCTGCACTCCATAATTTCTCTCTCGGACCATCTCTCTTTCATCGTTATGTGTTCAAACCATCTCAGCGTTGCCTCCTTGATTTCTACATCATCTTTCACTCCAGTAATAAAATCACTTACGACATGCCCGTGTTTCAGATGGCTGAACGACCACGCTCGCCAATACACAGATGTAACAATAAGCAACGTCACCGATGAGATTGGCACATTAGGCATCTCAGGACCTCGCTCCAGGGAGGTTCTTAGTAAACTCACTGACACGGACATGAGTCATACGAAGTTCAAATTTTTAACAGTCAAGGATATCGACATCGCTGGTATTCCAGTGAAAGCGATGCGGCTATCGTATACAGGTACAGTCTAGAAAGCTGGGGATTGATAGGGATACAACTACCTGAAAAATACAAGGAGATCTTCGACGTTTCAAGTGAAGACCTGACAGACTCTTTTCACGCTGACGAAGTGCCTTCGCTCGAAACGTCGAAGTTCTCCTGGTATTTTTCAGGTAGTAGCATCCTTAGGGACCGGTCATTAAATATGGCAGGTGGAGAAAGTAGGGGGTCCTGAATTATTTTTTCATTGAGATGGGGGGGGGTCTTGAAAATTACATTATGTAAAAGAGGGGGGTCTTCAGATTTTTCCCAACAAAAGGATGATTGTTTCTCGTTATATACTATGAACAGCCAAAAGAGATGCATAAAATACCCTTTAAACTGGAACACTGGGTTTAGTATGTATATAGTGTTCGTATCGGTTTGTATCATATTGAATACGTATATAGTGTTCAGTGGATGTAGGCGAGACAAGCAATTAGGCCATAGAGTAATCTACCTAAATAGATTGTAAAATATTTATTTAACTAGTTTCATCAAATTTTATACCTCTTTTAATACTCTTCATTGATCACTTGCTCTCCTAAGCTTTGTCCTAATCGGGCCAGCCATCAATACAAAACTATATTTTCAAGCGGTACAAGTGGGGTGTCTTTAAAAGTATAAAATGGGGCTTGAAAAGGCATATAATTTTTGAGGGGGGCCCCAAAATTTTTTTCAAAATTTCTAGTTTCTCCTCCATCCCCCCCTTGCCATATTTAATGACCGGTCCCCTATCAATCCAAAGCTTTATTATTGCCACTACCCACACTGGCACAGAAGACTGTTCAATATTCTAGGTACAGTCTAGCTTTGCAAATCCAGTTTGTTTAAACTAAACGAACTTCATTTATATCGGTAGCTTTCTACAAGAGGAGACTGGAGAAACCATAGTGTTTAGTAAAGCACTCTTCCCATGTGCAACTGAGGTGAAATTATAATCAGACAACTGCATATTGTAGGAATGAATCCTTGGTCACAGTGGTGAAAGAGACTATCAGTCTATCGGGACAAACTTTGTGATGATTTTCTGCTGATGATTTCCGTCAATACAGAATTAAATAAACTGTTTAAATACTTACCACATAATATGAACAGAGACTTCCTTTAAGAAACATTAGGAAATTTACTTGTTACAAGACCGTTTTAAAAATTCTTTTATAAATATTACAAATTGTCGTTATAATGAGTTTCATTGTAAATAGGTAAAAAAAATTTTTTTTTAGCTTTATCTTCTTCTTATAACTGTAAACCTTATCAATTAAGTATGTGTACTGCAAGTCAAGGTATTGAATAAAACCATCTATCTCTCAAGACACATGCACTAACGACTATAGTACCACTAATACCCAAGTGGTCTCGAGTTATAATATTCCATCCATTATTCAGGTGAACTTGGTTGGGAGTTGTATTGTAAAATGGACAAACTAGAACCACTCTATGACGCATTAATGAAAGCTGGCGAGGAATTTGGGATTGGAGACTTTGGAACGTACGCCATGACGAGCATGCGAGTCGAGAAAGGATTCCGAGCTTGGGGGAATGAGGTGAGTGATGGTATTTTAGTGAAGCTGATACCAGTAATTACGTAATTGTCTTATTGGAGGATTTCAGTACGTTTTCCAGAGCATCAGATGGTGTTCAACTTCAGAAGTGCTGACGCTAATTTGTGGTTTGTTATTTTAGATGAACATGGATACGAATCCGTTCGAAGCTGGTCTAGGATTTTTCATTAAGCTGGACAAGGTACCGTAAGAACTACTAAGTCCGCCAAACAGGAGTCGTATAAAGCTAATCTCGCTATCATTTTATCAGCCCACAGATTTCATTGGCAAGGAGGCGTTGAAGAAGATTAAAGAGGAAGGCGTGACAAGGAAATGCGTGAGTTTGACTGTGGACACGACAGATGTAGACCCAGAAGGAGATGAAACGGTTTGGCATGATGGAAAGGTAAGGATTATTTTTCATCCATGGCGCTTTTTCTCAGTTTCTGTACAAAACTCTTAACTACTTTTGAAGTACTAGAAGCTGATGCTGGTTTATGAGGCTCGAATTTACCGCTTGCAATCTCGCAAAATGCGAGGGTACTTTATCTTTTGCGACAAAAGCATTTCATTTGCAAAGTACCATGATTATCACTTTAGTTACACACGTAAAAATATCACAACTTGTCAACAAGATGTGTTCGCAACAGGCTTGTAGCAAGCTTGTCAACAAGTTGTAACAATGCTGTTATTTTATCAAGTTGCTACAAGGTTGTCATTCACAAATTGGTGAATTGCAGGACGATAACAGGTTGTTGGAACAACTTTGTAACAAGTTTGTCGAGCCTACTGTTTAGTATAAAAGCTGATACATACATCACTGCGTAAGAACAATCAAATGGCAAAAACTAAAATACCAAACCATTTTCTCCTAGGTTGTTGGCGTGACGACCTCGGGTTGTTATGGCTGGCAAGTGAAGAGAAGTATTGCGTATGCCTTACTTCCCGTGGAGCTATGCGAGAAAGGACAAGAGGTCGAAGTAGAATTACTGGGCGAGCGATGTTTGGCGAGAGTAGAGAACGATCCTATGGTCGACATTGAAGTTGTTCGACACAGGAAAATGTTGAAAGAAAAGAAAAGAACTTCGAAATGAACACAAACATATCAGAACATGAAACTACAGTAGCTGCTTCTTCGTAGAAAAATGAAAATTTTGTCAGTAATAATTAGTACCCAATTTAGCCACAATAGAAATGATGTACAGTATATAAACAACCAATTCAATAAAATGATTATTTTTAATTTCAAAATAAGTGTACATATCATTTTTGTTTCTCGGCATGAAACACTCACATTTTGCAGTATGCTAAACATTGAGGTAATTGGTTTTAAATAAGTCCTCTCTCTTTATTTTTTATTAAATAATTGTGCATGGAATTTAATTATAATTTAATTTATTGTATTAATATCTAATTATAGTAAAGTGGCTAGTGTGTAAGAAATTTGTGGCTTCCAGTTTTGTGCGTTGTTCATGAATGCTGGGAGAATATAAATTAGAGTAAATCTTCAGTCGCCTTCACCATTTGTTTCATCACAGCATTTATCATCTGCAGTCGTTTGTATTTCTGTACTGCTCTCTATCGCCGGACAATCCTTAATACCCTCAGTTTCCACCTTAATCCCCTCTGCCACCTCATCATTGTCATGATCAATGTATCCATTCCCTTCCTGCACATTTTCAATACTTTTCACTTCTAAATGAACACTATCATCCTCTTGTGTATTCTCAGTTTCTATCACATCCGTTTCAAAACAGTCACTATTTCCACAAGATATTCCATCATTCGCCATCCTTTCGCTTTCTTTATTTGTGCCTTCATCATTTACAACACAATTCTCAGAAAATTCTGTTTTATCTAATCCACATGATTCTGTTTTATCCATTGTATTTATTTTATCATGCTTTATTTCCGAATTCAAATCATCGTTTTCTTTCCCTGCCTCGTTAAGCAACCCAGAATTTTCATTTTCAATTCCTAGACTTTCTATTCCGTTTTCTGCACTTAAATCATCATTTATTTCTATCGTACCTTGATCAGCTTCCACATTTTCATTCTTGCTCTTCTTTTTTCCTTTTTTATTTATGCTTCTGTCTTTTGCGTTGTTCACATATGTTGGTTCGCTTGCCTCTTCCTGCTCCAGCCGATCTTCCAGATTTTGCCGCAGATTAAATGTTGCTATCAAAACAAACATTACTAGTAACCCATTGAGCACTAGCTCTCTCCCCTTGACGAGTCAAATTGTATCACGTTAGGCAAAGTAATACAATAAAGTGGGGTGCATCAGGGCGCATTGCCACTTAACCCATTAAACGCAAATGCTCTCCCCTTGACAAGTAAAATCTTCTGGCGTTAGACAAAGTAAAATAATAAAGGACGAATCATGGAGCAATGCTGACAGGGTGCGAAAAAATGGCCGGTAAATGCAACTTAATAGGTTAGAAATAAATTGATCAAATAATATTTAATACCAACCTTCAAATGCTTCAGGGTACTGTTTTTGTAGTTTCACCTTCAGACGTCTAAAACAGGAATATATTTCATTTACATTTCAATTTTCTCTGTGGTTGAGGGATGTTTGTTTTCTGGAATGATCTATTATTAGTGAGTTTGAGATAAAACTTACCTTATTCTTAAGAAAGCATTAGTCAGATCTTTTTTCAAATCAGCCAAAAGTCTTGTATGTTGAAGAAACATGTGTTGTAAGACGTCATACTTTGATGATGAAAAGTCGTTAAATTTTCCAAGCAGTTCATTGGTTCTGGCAAAGTTCTTGAGGCTAGACAAATTTGTGTTGAACATTTAGTTAATTTTTCTTCCAATTCCACTCTGCCAACCCCCCTGCTTCCCAGGATATGTAATGGTCCACCCCTAATTTGTATCAAGGACTGAGCATCAGAATTCAGGTTTCCAAGTCCATTCCAGGGGGGTGGGACTGGGTTGGGAAGTCTATTCCAGGGGGGATTGGATTGCAAATCATATCCAACTTTATAGGATATGATTGGATTGCAAATCATATCCAACCATGTGTTGCAAGACGTCGTATTTTGATGATGAAAAGTCGTTAAATTTTCCAAGCAGTTCATTGGTTCTGGCAAAGTTCTTGAGGCTAGACAAATTTATGTTCATTTAGTTAACTTTTCTTAAAATCCCACTCTGCCAACCCCCCTGCTTCCCAGGATATGTAATGGTCCACCCCTAATTTGTCCCAAGGACCAAGCATCAGAATTCAGGTTTCCAAGTCCATTCCAAGGGGGTGGGACTGGGTTGGGAAGTCTATTCCAGGGGGGGATTGGATTGCAAATCATATCCCACTTTAGAGAACAAACTCTAATTACAATTTCAAAAATTATTTAATCTAAAACATCAAACTCTGCACTACCTTTTATTCTGAATGGACATGATTCTCTGCATATCTTCGTTTCTTATTGATTCTGCCATAGCAAGCCCCAGTTCAAAACCTTGTGGCGAGCTTCTTGTCAGATTCAAACCACTTTCTAACGCATCTTTCCCGCGACTTTTGGCTGTAGACGAGCTCTTAGGCGAATCACGGTTATCTTTGGTCTTAGTAGACATAATTTCTAGCTGGAAAATTATATTCTAATCATGAAAAACATCAAAATTTTGCTCGAATTTCTGACAAAATAAAAATCCATTGAAAGTGTCATTTTCTTGCGCCCACAATCAATAACCAAAGTTACCAGCGGGCTGTTCTACGCTACTTCATCTTAGTCATAGTATTGTGTCTCCGATTAAATAAACTTTTTCATCGATATCGTCGCCATTTTCGAGTGTATTATAATATATCGTGGTCGATCTAAAAATCATACTAAATCAGACTGTTTTAAATATCAAGCCCATAACTGCCCACAAAATGTAAACATGCATATAGATCATCCCACATTGGGAATTGCCGCAATTTTAATTAACGCCTCGGCAACTGTGCGTGTGTATATATTCCGGTTGACGCATGAAGATTTCAAGATCGCAAGGTCTATATTGAAGCTTTTGTTTGGTGATTAATTAAAAGGGATTAGAGATGCTTGACGGATTAAATTTACATAGCCTGTATTATTCTACCCATAGTATAATGCGCTACAGTTCACAAAATAAATAACAGTGCGAAAAAAACCACCCAGATTTAATAATAAACCGATGCAGTGCATTAAATAAATGTAAGCAAAGCCCGATCTAATATAGAGACTCGCGTGACAGCAACTGATTTACTCAAGACAAAAATGAAATTTGTAGATGGCATTCAACGCCTTGTGAATTTTGAAGGACAATTAACACCTTTTCAGGAAGCTTGCATTAGTACACCACATTGAGGCGACATTTCTGATTTATTTTACACGCGAACTTCATAAGATTTATGATTTTAAACTAGAAGAAAGCTTAGATTCATTAGAACGAAAACGAAAATATTAGAACAAATTAAAGTAGCAATTAAGGATCGGAACACGGGCGTTATATATGCCATATGGTCACATTCGTCACAAAATTTTATATTAAATACCACATTACACTTTTAAATATTTAACTAATTTAAGTAAGTCCATATTTGTACAATACTGTGAATAATACTATTAAGAGTTTTACAAGCTTTTCGTTTTTAAACTTGTGAATTGAAAGCATAAAATTTATTTAAATTCATAATATTCCATTTGCAATGATTTGGCCAGATACAATATTTTAACAAGCTATTTGAATATTTGCCCAGTTTGTTTGAGGACATATTGATGTGAATATTTCTCAATAATCTTCTGTCTGTAGCGCAGATTATGGCTTGGACATAGCCTCGGGGAATAGTGCATATTGTGGACCAAATAGTTACATCACGGATATATAGTTACTTTTAAAATCGAGATTTCTCGCTACAGATCGCCGTGTTCTATTAATTTATTAAGTCCTTCTGCGATTTGAGTACGGACATCTTTATAAGCATCATTTTGGAATAGTTTATCTAATAGATCACCGTTTGAAAAATAGTCAAAAACATGGTCCACCCGCCCATGTGATTTCTGTGTAAGATGACTCTCTATTAATCCATGCAGCGACTTTTTCGCCTCTGTAAGTGAATTGGTCAAGAACTGCCGGTCGTATGTGAAATCGACCTCGTGGAAACTCACTATGGTCATGGCTGTCATTTTGAACTGACTTCGAAACGTTTCCGCAATTTTCATGTCAGCTTTGGTAAACTGATTATTTCTGTACAATACCCCAATCTTTACTGCAATTTTGATCAGATCTTTGAGTAACTTTTCAGCCTCCTTTTTGTTGCCGGTATCTCGTTTGGCGACCGTGTACAGATTGTCGAATAATGCACTCGTCGTGTCGTCCACAAACGCTTTTGCCACACTCTTGCTCGCCAGCTTTCCCAAGACTTTTTTCTGCGCTTGGATGGCGAAATTCTTCGAACTAAAATTACCAGATTCGGCCATGTTGTGTGAGGTAACTCCTGAAGAGTAAACGATCGCTGTTAATCAGGAAATACGAGTAAACACAAGCGAACAACACGGGGGAGATGTGTTATTTCACAGCGAAAGACTTTATATACATTATAATGACAGTCAAATTCCAAGCGGGTGGCAGACTAAAATATAAACGATAAACGCCATACTTCCTACCTTTATTCTCAAGACGTGCTCGCTAAATCTGAACTCAATTGCACTTCAAATTTACGGTGGTGATCTCCAGCAAACTCAATAACAAAATAAATAAAATAGATGTGTGATGTTGTAGATTTCACCGGTTTTACACACAAATTTCGATGGCAAACGCTGCCGAAAGCGATGCATACACAAGTCACACCAAAGCACAGCAAAAACAGCTTTTCCGCTCTGACAAGAGCCCAATATTGGCCCGCTAGAGCACTTCAGATCGGCGTAGAATTCGCGATGTGCATTTACAGTAGCCGTCAAAATAAAAATGTTTGTGAAATTAACATTTGATGTCATGTGACACCATATAAACAATTATAACTTGGAAATTGACACCGCCATATGCCCCGATGGGGGCCTTTGTCCGAACGCAGATGTAAAATTTTCAAAATATTCTAAAACCCACCTAAAAGGTTGTATTCCTTCGTTCCCAACTGTACAAAATTAAATATTTAAATATTAAATACACGAAAATACAAAAACGCCAAAACCGATTAAGTTTATAGCGTATATGTTGTTTTTTAATGTGGCCGGTATTAAAGTTATAAACTTTGTAGCTCAATTTCCAGCTGTCGGCATCATTTTGTCGTCCTGGAGACAAAGAGATTAAATAGAATTAATCTATTGCGCCGCTTCGAAAAGCTTTGATAATAAAAGTGGTTCCCAGAGATAAAGTCTTTTAATGGCTGAAATATTTTCATAAAACTCTCTGATATGTTAAAATCGCATACGATGTTTAGATATGATCACAATTTATGACCATATGGCCAATATATGTCCGGTCCTGTGATAATGCTTTACGATAAAAAAATTTAAAAAAATAGCAAGATTATTGCAAGCAGTTTACCAGATTATAAACCAGACTCTGGGACGGTTTATCATTAAAAAATAACTAAAATTACGAGAAATAAAATTCGATAAAAATGCCAGGATTTATGCTAGATTGGTGAGCCCTTCAAAAAATTTTCACTCTTAAGCATGTGGGAGCTAGCCGATGATTCGGTCATGCGCAGTAGCTAAAAAAGTAAAAATGCTTGGCAGTAGTCGTTCATTCAAATTAGGACCCAAGCGACAATATGTTACTAATGGAGATTAATCATATCCAATACCCTTCACGGCCATCAATATTGCACTCTTGAAAATGGGTGTCGTTTTCTCATCTCTTTAGGAATAATAGATAAGAGAGTTGCCAGTTCTTTCAAGCACTTTCCTAGTTTGTGCAGCTCACAGGTTGAAATACAGGTCTGTGGAAGCAAAATATAATCCGTTTTTCAAAAATCCATGGCTGGAATTCTGACACGGTGGTTTAAATAAAGGGCAAATATCTGCTCAAACCTTTACATGCGGCGATGGAAAATATCATTCACAATGTTTTCGCACAGATACCAGCTGCAATTCATGTTTTTGTTATGACTGATAAATGGAAAATAAAAAAGAATTTGCACGTAAACATTTTCCATGACTGCAACAGTTTTCCAAGATTTCCAGGCGTGGATTTTGAAATAATGAAATTCCACGAGTTTCATTAATGTTTCGTTATTGTAAAGCAAATGCAAGCAGTAGGGATTGATATTTTTGGATTGAAGTCATGTGGTTGTATTATACATGTACACAAGCCCCAGACCCCGCCCGCCCGCACACCTGGGTCTAGCCTTCGCTTCCTAATCTGACACGCAACACCCAGGGACGGATAAGATATGGGGGATTTATTTGTTTTTCAGCATCGAGTATTTGCTTTTCAACATCGTATGTTTGCTTTTAAAGGCGTCTATTTACTCTGCCAAGTGAGAGACTGAACTTAATCACACGCATTAGGCGGATTATGGGAAACGATATTTACTTATGCCATCGATTTACGCCATAATGAACTGGCAACATGAGTAGGAGTTGATATTGAATGACATCCTTCCGGGGAGTACGTCACTTTGGCTATATAGAGCCTCACTTGCATGTATGTGAGCTTAGTTACTGAGCCTGACGTCCCAATCGCGAAAACGAGGCTCTATAGCCGAGGTGACATACGTTTCGGAAAGCATGTATTGTGATGTCTCGACAACGAAGCTGGCTCGACCTGCCGTCTATTTGTCTGCTAAACGGTATTCTGCTAAACGGTATTCTACGACTTAGCTCCATAGGATGTCCCCCAAAACCCCGTTAGTTAATTAACACCGTTAATTACTCGAAAATTCAATCTGAGAGATGAATTTTAAGACTAAGATTATTCAAATTAGTCTAGAGGAAGGAATATTATGGCGGCTGTTTACAGTCAAACCGGATGTTTTCTTGCGAACAACATTGCAATATTGTCCCACAATATTGCAATTCTGATAAGCAGATTGCTCTGAGCAATTTGCAAGCGATGCGAACAAATTGCAAGTTGAAATTCACAAAAGATTTGTAAACAAAGCCTCTGACTGGACTATTAGAAAAAGGAAGCCAATCAAATAGTCGGAGCAACTGGGGATTGGAGCATCCCTTTTTCTTATAGTAGAGAGTTTGAGTAAGACAACGAAGTACGAAGACGAAGGCATACTTGACAATTTTTGCCGTCTGCACATTATCCTGCGCATACTGAGTTGGACGTCACTGGTGGTTGCTCAATGTGTCTTCCCATGTGTCGCTGTTTATGAATACTGATCCTAATTCTTGCCCTGATCCAGAAAAATACAGCGAGACATGAAACTATATCCCGTCTTTGTCCTTCTGCCTTCGTGCAGAACGAAGTTCACAACGAATTTTGCCAAAATATTCGTTGTGGGCGAAGGCAGAAGACGGATATGGATTCATGTCTTGCTGTTTTATCCTGAACAGGGTAAGGATTTTGAGTCAGCATTCATAAACAGCTAGACATGAATCTCTAATCTGTCTTCACTCCTGACCCTAAACTCAGAATGCGCAAGATAATGTGCAAGACAGGCAAAACAGCTCTAACATTGGTTTTACTAGAGCAATTGTAATAATTTTAGTGCCAAAATTCATCTCTTAGAATGAATACGCCGATTTTCGATCAAAAATCTGAACATATAATCTACTGCATTTTTTTTGGATACCCTGTTTTTGGATACCCTAGTCAGCAATAAGAGCTTTCCACAACCAAGTGTGAAAAGCTAGATCTATTAATCGACATATCATGTACTACACTTTATCTGCGCATGTCATGGAGGAGAATTTATGTCGACGGAAAAAAGTTAGTGTTAATTTAATTCAATTAAAACAATTCTCACGTAAGATTGATACCCAGCATTAATGTTATCAGTGATTAATGGGGGTCGAAATTCCAATTGTGTATGTATAAAGCTACACTAAATTTTAGTCACGCTTTAGCCATTGAAGTTATACTTAATCATTTCTAGCTGTAGAAAGCATCAATTTTGCTCGCATACATCTTTGTTACAATAGGTCGTCTCACTTTCATGGTGGGACCTACAGAAAATAGTATTGGATTTGTTACAATTTGCGTTGAAGTACGAACATTAATAAGCAATTAGTAAGTCTAATCAGGTACTTAGCACAAAACCATGTGTTTTAGATGAACCTACCTAGTTCTCCTCCAGGGACGGAGAAATCACGCTCAAGAATACACCATTTTTGAACCTGAAAGGCATTGGGTTTGTTAAGCCAGGTTACACTATCAAAGTTTAATCTGTGATAACAGTACGGATTTCGCATAGGTAAATTCTAAGTTTTGAAGGATTTGTAAGAAATGTTTGAGCAACAAGATTTAAAGTGCGATTAACCACAAATATAATTTTTGGTTATTTAGGTCGTTCTAAGAAGAAATGTAATATATCTTTATGATAAAAAATCCCATCTTGATCAACTTTTTCACTGTCAAAGTTTCCGGATATGATGTCATTAGGCGAATTGCAAATTAGTTTTCCTTTCGTTTTAGCACCGAAAATTCACCTAATGACATCATATTTGGAAGCTTTGACAGTGAAAAAGTTGATCAAGATGAGATTTTTTACTATAAAGATACATTACATTTCTTCTCAGAATGACCCAAATATTACACATACCAAAAATTATATTTGGAGTTAGTCACACTGTAATGTTATACACTGAGTTCCCAATTCCCTCCTCAACAGTTCTTACAAATATTTCAAGTTTACTTGAGGAGCATATCGCTCACGTAGGGTGAGAGGCATCTAGGAGGATTGGGAGAAAGAACTGATTTCCCGACCTAAGGAAAAGGGGAGGAGGATGGTGGTATAAGAGGTGGTAGTGGGGGGTATAAGAGGTGGTGGTTACATACCTTTTGTGCTCGTGATATAGCTCTAGAGTTGTAGCGATCAATTCCATCTTGAATTGCTTTCATGAGTTTCTCATCTTTCTTTTCCAGAAATTCTGACACGGTGCTGATCTCCACGCCGTGTTTCTGACACCATTCTTTGGCCGGTCCTGTGAGCTCATCCATGGCTTCGCCTGTTTCCAAGTTCATCGCGCACTTCAAGATGAAACCAGAAGATTACAGCATGTTAATTTATCAGGATTTTTGGGTCCGCAGGTTCGATTCCGGCCAGAGAGCCTAGAGTTGCATTTTTCACAGCTGCTCCCGGTTAGATAGGGGGTTGTTCACCGACCCATGGTCACCGTTTGGGGCGAGAGTTCATAATCATTTGGGGCTACGCACAGCAGTGTTCTGTAGAACAGTCGAAACATTACCCCTGGAAGAGTTCAGGAGCATTATTGTGGTAATAGTGACGGCAGGATTGAAAAAATGGATTTAATAATGAAATTGGCACCCCCTCGCTTTGCCAAAGGGTTGGACACACCCCATCCACCCCTTCACCCCGAAGTAAATCCATCCCTGGTCCTGGGTTTAAAATACAAATTTATCATCCAACCTTGAGAGTAAGTAAACAAGACAAGAACTTCTTCTTGTCTCCAATCAACATGGCGTTGCTAAGAATTGGGATTTCCACTTTCAGTTGATCTTCGATTGGCACTGGCGCTATGTTCTCTCCTCCCGCTGTGATGATTAGTTCTAAAACAAACAAAGCCTTGGAAATTCACTCACTGATCCGTTTCATCTGTATTACCGGCCTTCACTAAACACACGGTCTCGCAACTTGTCAACAAGATGTGTTCGCGACAGGCTTGTAGCAAGCTTGTTAACAGGTTGTGACAATGCTGTTGTTTCATCAAGTTGCTACAAGGTTGTCACTCACAACTTGTTGACAAATTGTTGAATTGCATTTGCAGGACGACAACAAGTTGTTGGAACAACTTGTAACAAGTCTGTCGAGTTCAACAACCTTGTAGCAAGTTGTCAGCAAGCCGTTGCAACAAGCAATGCGAACACATCCTGTTGACAAGTTGTTGGAACAGCATTGCTAAAGTCTGCTGCAGGTTTGTTACAACTTGTGCGTTTTTACATGTGTACCTTTTATTCTGCCCGTGATGAATAGAAATCCATCCTAAAAACACAAAGAAGTAAAAAATGATTAAGCTGGCACGAGTAAGGACAAAAAATATTTCAAACTTCATACCTCATCTATTTTGCCAATATCTCCTGAATGTAAGTATCCATCTTCGTCTAGCGCTTCCTTGGTTTTCGCTTCATTGTTTACATAACCCATAAAAACATGGCGGCCTAACATACACACCTGTACATGAAGAAATTGCACTAAGTTGTTTTAAGGTGTACTATACTACACAAAACTAACTCTTTCACATAAGCTCTGCTCCGTAATCGGGCAGAAATGCCGTAGTAATAAGCCTTCGACTCGGTCTTGTTCGACCTGCGTCCCTTGCAATTCAGCTGTTAGACAATATAAGATCAATTTAATGATTAATCAATGATGGTGCCATCCAATGTTTAATTATTCTCCTAATATACAAAAAGTATTTGCATATATTTATAATGGCCGTTCTTTATATTTCCTTTCTTTTTTTTTTTCTCTTATTCCCGTTTAAATAATTTATAAAAATAAATGAATAAACAAATTATATTGCATACCACTAGAATTATGTAATTCAATAATTAGCTCAACCGCTTAGCTATTTATTTATACGTAGACGATGGTTAACTCGAAAGCTGATGCTCTTTTAACCATCGTGCACGTTTGAAATATTTTCGTTCATTTTATCTTTTTCTTCTATATATACTAAAAAAAATGAATTACTTATACTTAATAATGTATATATATATTAAATAGTGTGAATAAAGTTATTTGATTTGATTTGATGTAAGAGTTCATCCCCTCCTACTTTTACCCCTAAAGGTTTCCATATATCCTAAAATGTACCATATTATACCTCTCCATTCCCGTCTTCGTCGGGTTCATGAATCTTACATGAAAGTCCATCAAGCGCGGGGCCGCATGAACCTGTGCGATTCTTCCCTGGCTTGCCTGCGGTCATCGGACCCGAGCACTCGCTCATGCCATACAACTCACAAAGGGGCATGTTGAGGCTTTGGTAATACCGTAACGTTTCCATGGTGATCGGAGCTGCGCCCGTCGCAAGATGTCGACAGCGGTCTAGGCCAAGAGCTGCATGGACCTTGTTGAATAAACACAATGTCAAATTGAGAATATATACCTAGTCAGCTATGTTTATACCCGCTGACACACAAAAGTCACATTTTCACATACACTGCAAAAAACGCCTGCCTGTAACAATGTTGTTGAAAACAGGCCTGAACAATATTTTGCTGCCCATATGTTAACAACCAGGAACAATATGGGCAGCAAAATATTGTTCAGGCCTGTTTTCAACAACATTGTAACAGGCTAAGCGTTTTTTCCTGTGTATAGCTCGCATGCCTAGTTACCACTGTTCTGATAATGTAAGCATAGAATGAAACAAAGGTAACCAAGCATTTAAATTATATATGTGAGTGAATTGGGTGGGATAACTCACATATCTACACGCGTAAAAATCATCATGTTGATGCAAGTTGTTCAAAACAGGAGCGAACAATGTTGTGCTGCACCCCGTGAACAATATTGTTAACAAGTTGTTGAACCATCAACATTGTTGCAACTTGTTGACAATCATGTTAACAACTTGTTAACAATATTGTTCACGGGGTGCAGCACAACATTGTTCACTCCTGTTTGAACAACGCCGAACAACCTGATCAATTTTTACCCGTGTAGTTACCACTGTTCTGATAATGTAAGCATAGCATGAAACAAAGGTAACCAAGCATTTAAATTATATATGTTAGTGAATTGGGTGGGATAACTCACATGCCTAGTTATCACTGTTCTGATAATGTAAGCATAGCATTTAAATTATATATTGCACGTGAATTGGTTGGCAACGGCTCAAAATCTATTAAATGAGAAACAAAACTATAGTTCTTGTTCTGACATACCTTTTTAAAGACCAGGGCATTCGCAATCTTCCAGCCGTATGGAACTGGGCGTCTAAAAAGAAATAGAAAATGAATCATCTAGTTCTGTAGTTAAGCTAACTTATGTTCCAGGAAGGATTCGAGTTTGTAACAGCTGTAGTTAGTGAAGTCGCGAATAATACATGCAGTTCTGACATGCAATAAAGTCAAGTAAAGATTAGTTTGTTCTTTTATACCGAAAGTTGCAAGGCAAGAATTTGACCGGACAACTCCGCTTTCTGACCGGACAATGTCCGTTGACCGGCCGTTATTTCGCGCCCTGAGTGGGTCGAACCTGTAAACGGAACACCTCTCTTAAGCGGCGTAACTCTCTGGTCCCAATGTGAATAAAACACTAGTATTATAACCCCTATTAAGGAGCCTTCCTACAGTAGCATGCGAGATGTTCGCGGGACCAGTACGCGGGCTATCGCACGCAACCGCACGATCAAAACGAAACAAATCTTGACCGGGCTTTTTTTTTTAAAAAAAAGCTATTTCTGAAAGGTTTCTATAATGAAAAAAAGCGTTGAATAATCCTTCGTTTCGAGTGCCAAATCAATTGCAAGTTCATACAGCAATTCTGCATATGATACGAATATCACTAGACCAAAAAAACTAGCTATGAAGCAATGTTTTTTAATTTTTAAAAATAATGTCAGCTGTAAAACATTTGCTAAATTGTACAAACTTTTAATAAACGTTTAAAAAGTCGTTTAGAAAATACTTATGTGTTTCTATAAGATTAAAGTGGTTACATGTAAAGGATTTACATATATCAGAGTTTCATAGCCTTGTTCATTTTTAGCAAAAGTGCAAAACCAAACAAAAAACCGCGTCCACTGCTTGCTTACCCTTGTTCTATATTCATGTTTCCTCGAAGACCAACGCCTTTTGCCCAAGTTGATATTCTCTTTTTGATTCCCGTCGTGTTTCGTCCAAGTTCTTGTAACTTCTCCATGATCTTCTCCCAAACTCTGAGATGAAGAAAAGATGGTAGTTCAGATACCAACCACGGCAGCTCGAAACAGTTTCGGGGACGAACGTGTGGCAGTTGTGGTTAGCAGGGCCGCCGAGAGGGGGGAACTATGCCCCGAGTCCCCAGCTCCAAAAAGGGCCCTCCAAACAATTTCTTAACACGAGATTGCTTAACTGAGAATATAAATCCCAGCTGTGTTAGTGCCGAATAATATGCAATAAAGTGTAATATATTGTAAAACACTGGTTCTTCCGCGCAGCCGCTAACCTTGGGACAGCCATAATCATTGTTGGACGCACTTCTTTTAAAGTTTGACTGAGAGTTCCCTAAGAAAAAACAAAACATGATTGTGACAGAATTTAAAATCTCAGGAGCTTTAGCGTACTTTTCAAGGCCATATATCAGAAAATTCGACGACTAAAGGGCTGAAAGGAGGCGTTAGAAATCAGTAAAAATGTGACGTTAAACTGTTCAAACGGCAACTTTAATGAATTTCAAACAGCTTTGGCTTTTGCAAGACATGAACAAAATCAATTTACAAAATGTCCAATTCCTAATGCCAAACAATTTCAAAAAATATCCACTAAAGCAAGAACAATTTATGGACTTTCAAGCACTTCTTTATAAACTCAAGAACTTTCAAGGCTTGGAATTTTTGTTTCCAAATTCAAGAACTTTCAAGTATTTTCAAGTTTTGTACAAATCTGCATTTTGAAATGAATATAACTGGAACGCTACCTCCAACAGGACATTTGAAGCCAAACTCGAAGGAAGTCCCAGTCTTTTCACGCATGCGAAGAGCGTTCAATCAATCAATCATGATAGAAACACGCGTGTTTGGAGGTCAGATTTGGCTTCAAGAAAAAGATAGGCAGTTTATCTGAAGGTAGCGTTCCAGTTATGAGCCTGCGTAAGCTTTTCAGTTGCACTACCTTTAATGCATCAGGTTTAGCAAACCAGACCGTTGCAGCTCCAAATATTGGCATGTGGATATCCAGTAACTGAAATCAACAATAAATTCATATAAATTTCCACTCGATAATTTCCATTTACAAGAACCTTCAACTATTATTCAATCGAGTGAGATACCAACAAAATCTGATAATGACCCATGAAGGTATGTTTACATACAACAAATAATCGGGCCGATTCAGCTTTAAATAAACGATATTTGAAAAATACGCTGTCACCGTCATCTAACGACATCGTCAACTGAGAACATTCGTCATTAACATCCGGCACAACCTAAATCGGCCCGATTAATCGTTGTGTGTAAACGCATGAACTTGGGGCTAGAGATCGACAAACACGTAAATTTAAAGTGAAATTTTTTTAAAGTAAAATTTTAACACGGAAAGTTGTTATTTTATAAAACAATTACTTTATGGTTTCCGTGTTTGGATGGCCTGATCCAAACACTTGGGAATGTTGCTCGAGTTAAGAAAAGCGCACAAAATCACTCGCTTTCGGCTCGTGTTTCGCGCGCTTTTCTTAACTCTCGCAACATTCCCGCGTGTTGGGACCAGGCCATCCACACACGGAAACCATAAAGTAATTGTATATGAACAGTAGATGCAGTGCTGGAAAAAGTCCGGTATGTTTCAATTGACAACTTGCATGTTAGACTAAATTTTAATCTAAGTAAAGAGAAGGGAATTACATACAACAGTTAAAAAGAACATAATGATATTAGTAAAATTGCAAAATTTGGTTGCGAAATGTTGTAAAATACAGAAAATATAGCCTTGCGAAGTTTGCATATTTTCAGTATATTTGTATTACGTGCGGAAATTGTTACCATTTTCGGCTCAAAAATGGTAACAATTTCCGCACGTAATACAAACATACTGAAAATATGCAAACTTCGCAAGGCTATATTTTCTGTGTTTTACAACATTTTGTAACCAAATTTTGCAATTTTACTTATTTTAATACGTTCTTTACGGGAATTTACTTTTTTTTTGCCTAAAAAAAAGTTAGTCTAACATGCAAGTTGCCTATTGTTTCTAACCTGTGCAGCAATGTGACTCAACGGAAGAAAGCTGATAGTGTGTTCAGTCCTATAGTTCATGCCCAGTAATGCGCAAGCTTTCGAGCTGGTGAACACAATCTGGGAAAAAAATGAGAAACGGATTACAATACATAATAGTCGAATTACACTGACAATTCAATCACATTGTTCGATGGTCCAAGTTCTTGTAAAGTTCCCACCATGATCCTTGGTAATATTACTGTGGTTTAAATTTGTAGATTAAACAAGATCTTACGTTATCATGAGACAGCATAACTCCTTTAGGACTTCCAGTTGTTCCAGACTAAAATAATGAGGATATAGATAAACAACAGAATAGCATATATGAGCAACTTCTGCATGACGCAGTAACCATTATTTTCTACTTAAGATCCGTTCACCCTTGCAATTCTGCCTGCGAATTCTAGTGCGATTTTCTTGTTCTGATGCATGTGAACGAGTAAATAAGTTATGAATTTTCCGAGTATACCTAGGTTTCAGTCACGTAATACGTTTAGCGCCTGGGGCCAGTTGTATAAAAAAGTGATTAAAGTTAACTATATAGTTAGTGGAAACGTCATCCAATAAGAAGCGCGTATTTGAGAGTTAATCACTATTTAACTACAAAATAGTGATTAAAAAAGTGATTAAGAGTTTTATACAACCGGCCCCTCATGGTCAACTCGAAATGGAAACACATTTATCAGATCGAGTTAAATATTCATTATATAAGTATTGATCTTGTGTTTGGTATCAAGTATATGCAATTTAACGAAATTTACTTGCTTCCACAAGGCATAGAGCGGAAGTTGACCAGCATGCTAGCGTTTCCCTATTGTTATAAGTCTTGAGTGAAACTCACCCTCATCTGGACATCCATAACTTATCCACTCGTTCACATCCATCACAAGAATATATTTATACTTACGGTATAAACTAAGGTACAACACTCATTCACTTTAAGAGCGTTGATTCTCGCATTTAACTCCGCGTCATCACACGATTTCCCTAACTCCATGAAATCTTTCCACTAGATTCAATAAAACAATGGTCAAGTGAATGTATTACACGCATAAAAACGCACAAGTTGTAACAAACGTGCAGCAGACTTGTAGCAATGCTGTTTCAACAACAATGTGTTCGCACTGGTTGTTCCCAGCTTGTTCACAAGCTGTCAACTTGCTACAAGGTTGTTGAGCTCCACAGACTTGTTACAAGTTGTTCCAACAACTTGTTATCGTCCTGCGATTCAACAATTTGTCAAAACGTTGTGAGTGACAAACTTGTAGCAACTTGATAAGGGAGCGGTCATTATTTATTGGGGGGGGGGGGTGGCACCGAATAGAAAAGGGTTGGGTAAACAAAATTTTGAATAAGTAAAAGCTTGGGTAAATGAAAAACAAAACAACTCAAGGGTTGGGTAATAAAAATTTATTGTCATTTCCAAAGCATGACCCACTGAAATGTTGGAGACTGAAAAGCAATGTCAACAGTCATTTATCAATACAATATGTGAATCAATCAAGAGTCACTATCTTGATCATAGTTTGACAAAACAAATTGTGTTTCCAAAGAAAGTACATGTGCAGACAACATGAAACTTTAGACTGCAGAAAATTTCACAAGCCGTTATCAAACTCATGTCACTGAAGTGATAAAGGACGTGTATGACAACTGAATGGTATCCTTTTGTTAAGTTTTTGGCCAGGGGTGGGTAGTTATTTTTTAATTGATATTTGAGGTTGGGTAATCAACTTTTTGCCTTTTTAATGGTTGGGCCAGCAAAATTTTTGACACGGAAAACATTTCTCTTCGGTGCCACCCCCCACCATAAATAATGACCCGTCCCTAAAATAACAGCATTGTCACAACTTGTTGACAAGCGTGCTACAAGCCTGTTGCGAACACATCTTGTTGACAAGTTGTGAGATTTTTACGTGTGTACCCGGCAGATTAAATGGTTCATATTATTCTGACACTGTCGTCACAGCAAGGCCTTCCACCTCTGAGATCATGTGAAAAGAGTCAGTCAACGCTCTGCCGAAAGTCGTGGATTTTCTCCCGGGGCTCCGGTTTCCTCCCACAGGAAAGTTGACAGGGTGGGTTAGGATAAACACGATTAAGAAAGTAATATCACAATTGTTATAAAGATAAATAATCTAAGGGTAACATAAGTAAGCGTAATACTTGATGTAATCGGTCACTGAAAAGCCCCAATGGGGAGTGAGCTAAATAATGCAACTGGACTACTGAATAGAAGGAAAAATTGGTTATCTCGAGCGCGATTCGAACGAGACTGCCTCTCTACCCAGATTGTCCAATGCTTAATTAAATATTCTTTCAACACGGGGTTGAAACATTGCCCGTTGAAAAATTCTCCACCTTGACTGTAGTTGCAAACGAATATAAAACACTAGTAGTTTATTTACCGTATATACATTGGGATTCGACTTGTCCTCTAGTTCACCAGTATACTGGATAACAGCTTTGAGGTTTGGCAATTGATCCCAAACCTAGAATACAACCAACTTAACGTTATCGACAAAGTGATTGGTGTGGTCAATCTGCAGTTATCTGAGGGAGAAAATAACGAGTATTTCGATGGCGTGGAGAACAGTGGGATTATCAAAACAATAAAAAGACAATGGAACACTCTGATCACAGGATCATGACTGGATGACATGGAGAACAGTGGGATTTCCAAAACAATGAAAAAACAATGGAACATTCTGATCACTGGATCATGACTGGATGGCATGGAGACCAGTGGGATTTTCAAATCAATGAAAAGACAATGGAACATTCTGATCATTGGATCGTGACTGGATGGCATGCGGAACAGTGGAATTACCAGTGTTCGGTAAACGGCTATTCAATTCATACAGAGAGCGTTTCATACCTCCAAAACTTTACCAAGTTGTATGTTATTCTCCACCACGACAATTGCAGAACACGAATCTTCAATGACATATTTGCACGCCTCAGGAGAGTTTGTCGTGTAGACACCAACAGCCAAACCCCTTTAGCAAATAAAATAGCTTTTTACCCAATCTTATGCCTTATGGTGCTTTGTTTCCTCGTTCAGGACTCAACACATTCACGTGAAAAGAGTCAGTCAACTCAGGCCTTAAAATATCTTTTACAGGGCCGTCTGACAAAATGTCCGATGCCTTTCAGTTTGGGTCGGACATATGTCCGATGACTTCAGTTCAGTTTGGGTCGGAAATAAGTCTGAATGACGCAAATTAATATCAGCATAATGTATTCATTCTGAACTAAATGTTGTGAAGATATTAAATAATTTGTGTCATTCATACTTATTCCAAGCCAAAATTAACTTCCTTGCCTAAATAAAGTTTTGTATGTATGTATGTATGTATGCCAATGATAGCAGTACGACTTCGATAACTTAAGCCCGTTTTCCACCTCACCATTTCACTCGCCGCCCCTACGTCGGACAATTTGATGAATGGGTCGGACAATGTCCGTGACCGACCGATATTTTAAGGCCTGCAGTCAACGCTCTACCGAAAGTCGTGGGTTTTCTCTGGTTGCTCCGGTTTCCTCCCATAGTGAACGTTGACAGGGTGGGTTGGGATCAGAGCCTTCCACCGTAGTTATGCTATGTGATCAGACGTGAGTCATAAGGTGGTTGTACCAGAAGCGCTCTTAGAAAGCCTTCGACTCGATCAAGTTGAGCTTCGTCCTTCGCAATGGACCCTTTCCCTTTATAACTAAAATTTTGATCTAGACAAGTTTAGACAAAAATTTCATCACAGCTTGAAAGAGCATCACAAAATTAGTAATATTCCGAAGTTTCGTTGCGAAATGTTGTAAAATGCGGATAATATAGCCCTGCGAAATTTGCAATTTTCAGTCATTTTGTATTACAAACGGCAAACTGATGCCCCAACACCCGATTGGGCTGTCAATTTCCCATGCGTAATACAAAATGACTGAAAAACGGCAAATTTCGCAAGGCTATATTATCCGCATTTTACAACATTTCGCAACGAAACTTTGGAATATTACTAATTTTGTGATGCTCTTTCAAGCTGTGATGAAATTTTTGTCTAGATCAAAATTTTAGTTATAAGGGGAAAGGTCCATTCAGCATAGCATTCGTAACCCAGTTGGATGCTGAAAAAATTTCAATTTCGAACCCTCGATCATCTTTTAAATGCGTAGTTTACCTGGCAAAAATCGCTCCAATATCAGCAATGAGCCATTCTGGTGAATTGAATCCAATAATTGACACTCCGTTAAAACTTTCCAAACCAAGCTATGAAAATGGCGATTTAGAATAAAAAAACAACTAATTTGCATTTAACACGTGAAAAACAACCGCGTCGCTTTAGCTAATCACGTTGAAATTAGCATTTCTCACGGCAGATTTTCCCGCCATTTTGGGGGTACTGCCTCTTCCGCGTTTGAGAGTCTCTGCACCACGAAATACAACTTTTTAGTATTGTAGTTGTTTGTATAATGGTAAATTTACAGTTACAACTTTAAACGTCGCTTTTCACGTTGTTTGAATTGTCTAGAATCTTTCACGAGGGCAGACAGTACCCCAAAAATGGCGGATTTTGGCATTCGTGAGAAAGGATAATTTGATCGCAACAATGCGGATAAAAGTCAGTTTATATTTTCATGTTCAGGAGACATTTTCAAAACGAATTCTCGATTCGCATTGCATGTTGACACTGAGTCACAGGACGCACGATACGCGATGAATTCAAGCATAGCTATAACTGTACAAATTTCAGAGGTTTTTTATAATAAAAAATTAGATAAATAGATAAGATTTTGCCGTTGTCTGTACAGTTATAGATCGATACACAGTATGACGTCATAATGTGGGAATAACAAATAACTCTCGACCAATGAAAGCGCTTGAATTCTTAACGTTAATATTATATAATAATACAAATACAATAACAAAATGCACCTAAGCAATATATAAAACAAATCTTAATAATTAAATTGCGTTGCATTTATTACCCTCGACAAGCATTCAACTTCAATAAAACGCAAATTACTTTCGCAAATTACTTTCTTCAAAATGTTACTTAGTTGTCACCTTAGAAAGTAATAAATTACGTTACAAAATTACTTTCTTACAACAAGTAATTTATTACCGAAAAACTACTCAAAAAGTAATTAGCAGTTGGTATTGCGTTCGTAATAGTCGAGGGCGAATCGCGCATATCTGAGCATGGTCCGCCATATTACGAAGTCTGTGAACAAAGCTTTAAGCAATCTGTCTTGCGCATAATCAATGAAACAAGCCATACAATTTTTGAAAACAAGAAGATAAAAAGATTCAAAGAGTTTCTAGACATTTTGTGGTTAATTTTGATGTTTTGATCACGCAAAGTTGTGGTTAGGGCGGAAATAAAACAAGACTCATGACGCAAATTAAAATAAACGAGACATATGCAATAATGAATGACTGATGTTCACATGATTTGCGGTTTTGTGGTTTCCCTTAAACAAATTTTGCCTCTGATAATTTTTCCTACTTAAACTTAAACAATTCATTGAATCGCATTTATGGCATGTATAAACTTTCTTTACCTTTTTACACTCTTCTAACACCAGGCAATTTTGTAGGTCAAAGGCAGATTACTCACACATTAATAACTGTTAAGGAATGCCAAATAAAGATACAGTGACAAACATAGTGGGGAAAGGGTTGGGGTGTGATGCTAACCCCCATCCCCCCCCCACCCCCCTTATCACTTTACAAAAAGATTGTCAGTAAATTGAATGAATAAATTGTTTTTGTACATTTGTCTTAAAACATCTTGGTGAATGAAATGAAATAATAAGAGATGGTATCTGAAAGATTTTTTGAAGAGTGGGCGGAAGTCAGATATACTTTATAACACCTACTCAACACTTAAATTCTTTGCTAATTGCCCCTATTATACTAATATCTACCAAATACCATATATATGACTAATAGGAGGATATTATAGTCTGCAAAGTATTCAGGCCAAAAAAATTCGTTTCAGGTCTCATTGCTACGTTTTATAAGGGAAAAACATTTTATTTTATAAATAATACTCTACTATATAAGTAATATTGTATATGATACAAAATTATAGACAAAATGTATACAAACACATCGATTCAAGTTTAGTGGCAGCACTCTCTCCTTGACGAGTAAAATCATCTGGAATTTATAGACAGAGTAAAATAATAAAGTAGGGCACATTGCCACTTAAAGGGTTAACACTCTGATTAACCCATTGAGTGGCAAAACTCTCCCCTTGACAAGTAAAATCCTCTGGCATTTTATATAGACAGAGTAAAGTAGGCACATCAGGGTGCTTTTAACCAAATGTTAAAGCCAAAAATATTTCCCTGTGCAGATAAAATCATCTTGTTTTAGACAGTGGTGGCTAAATGGGTTAAGGTTTTTCCAAGGGTAAAACGTTAGTAACTTTTTAAGTAAACTATATTAAATTAACTAGGAAATGTTCGACCTATTAAATTGGCACCATTGGCTCTGCAAACACACTGTTATCTGAGTGAAATCAATTAAAGGACCAGGAAAATGTTGACATCAATGGACCAATTCCCAATTAACCAAAATTTTGATCTCAACAAGTCTAGACAAAATTCCATCACAGCATGAAAGAGCATCACAAAATTAGTAATACGTACTCCAAAGTTTCGTTGCAAAATGTTGTAAAATGCAGATAATATAGCTTTGTGATGCTCTTTCAAGCTGTGATGAAATTTTTGTCTAGACTTGTTGAGTTCAAAATTTTGGTTAATTGGGGATTGGTCCATTAACATGCTCAATAATTTACTAATTAAAAGTCTGCCACAGAATCTTGAGTTGCCTAATAAGAACATCAAAGATCATAGGTCATCATCATTAGCCAAAATATATTCAAGTTGACTTTGAACTTTGGATAAAAGGCAAAGATTGAATTTCAAAGACTCTTTCAAAATGTAAACAATGAATGTAACAAAATGTTCACATGATCATCACATGCTCTGAATAATACCATCCCTAAATAACCATTGAGTGACAATTGGCAGCTATGGTATGCACAAAGAATGCAATGTAATTATTTAAAAACAATATACAAAGCAGCTATTCTTCAGGTAAAAACATGGCAATAATTCTGTTTCATATATTCTTGGGTTTCACTACGGCATTATGCAGTGAATCTGAAGGGGATCAACCTCAAATGTATTGATGCTTATGCTGTACTGGAGAAAATGATACGAAATTCCATGTATTTGCCACCAAACACAAGGCCAATCGACTCAAACTGGTAACTGTGCTTTGTTTTAGATTTGACCCCCTGCAACTTCTGTGAGATCAAATGAAACCCAAGAATACTGCTTTAAAACTTAATAAGTTAACATTTGAAATATTATATAGTAAATTATTAACTACCAACTACCCAATATAAAAACTAGCATGATGTCCGAAGGATTTACCTGTTTATGAAAGAGCTACAAATATTATTAAATATGTAAATTATGACACGCACAGCCAAGCATGTGTTATTTAAATTTATTGCCAAATTTTACCCATATGCAACATTCTTCTCCATAATATTGAGAAATCACCTGGGTATATATTTGACAAACAATAATTTAAATTTGCGAAATTTTCCAAATAGACCTAACGTTTGAAGCTTTATATACGTAAAAAAGACATTAAACAAGCATTATTTATCAAACTGTTTATTTTCGGGATCATTATAAGCTTTATAGCACAAAGCTACAATGCAACAACAGCATTGCCACTTATATAACATAGCAACAATGCAACATGTCACATGCACAAAACACACAAATTTTCAACAAGTTTACAGCTGTATAAAAGCTGCATATCCCATCGAAATCCCCCAAATTTTGTACAACCACAATGTAAATTTACAAGCTGTACATGTACGTGTTTTTAATGAATATTTTTAGAGAAAGCGCGAAAGTACGATTACAAAATACATCGCACGGTATTATATTTCAAATTAAAGCCTCGCTTTTCAGCACCTGATTCGGAGCTTTTAGCCTCGAACAACACAGAAATAAACCCGATATTTTACACCCCCGCATACTGCTAATATCTTCAAATCCTCTAGAAAGTTATATTACCTTAATAAAGCCTTTTGCGGCGGTTCGACAGTCTTCCATATACTGTGCGTAAGTCCATTTTATCCATTGCTCATCACGCTTCACAGCAAGGGCCGTGTAATCGCCTGCTTTCTCCACAGTTCGTTTAAACGACTCGTGAACAGTTATCGGCGTATCGTTGTCATGTTCTGTTGTTCCCACCCGTAGCTTTACAGCGCCATCGCGAGCAGTCGTCCAATATTTTTCTGCCGGAGCAAACTTGTCTGGAGTTCCTTCACTCGACGTGGCCGGTTTTGAACCGTTTTCGGTCGCGATCTCGCCTCCGATTTCTTTGCTTTCCGACTTACTGTCTATTAAGATATCAGAGACAGACACACTCGCATTTACTTCTGCAGTTTCGGCCATTTTATGTCGTTTAAACGTGTTTTACTACCGCCAAAATAAATTACTACACGTTGGACAAATATTTATTTTGAAGATGGTTCAAATTTCTATCCACACCCCCCGTGACAGCCAGCCCACCCAGCCCACGTACACGCCCACTTTCGCCCCAGGCCAACTGGAAGCCTGGGATACGCCAGCCTAGTCCCTAGGCCTCTTAGTTCGCCTATTGCGCGTTTCTGCATATTAATGAGGTGACGGCTCCTTTCGCTCGGTGACGTCACGGAAATCAAAAGCGGGCACAGAGGACTTGGGACTAGTCTGGGGATACGCTCTCGTCTCTGGGGACATCTTAAAGATTCGGTGGTTTTTCGGTTCCAAGCACTGAGCTATACTATATTACTGGAGGAAGTGCTCGGCAAAAAAAGTGTCCGCAAAAACATGGCGGATTTTCGCGCCATATGACGCCATTTCCATGACAACTGGTTCCTCCGGCTCATGAAATTACCGCTGACCAGGCTCAATTCTGAGCCCGCTACAATTTTCACCCCCCCCTGGTTTTATCAAAAAAATTTTTGCTTTTCGAGGTTTTTGCAGTAAAATCTCGTTGTTTTTTTATATTTTTTCGACTTTTGACCATTTGTTAAAAGATTTAAAAGTCGTACACGCTATTCTCACCCGCGAAAGACAACAAACCAATATGAAAAGCCCGAGAAATTTAGGCAAAGGCGATATTTGATGGCAGAGCTCACAGGTAAATATTTCACATACTATTGATATGTTTTTATTTTTAATTTTTAAAAGATAATGGGAGTAAATGATAGAATACAATCCATTAGATAACAGGCTCTTTGTATAGTATAACGTATTATTTTCCCCCATGTGTTCAAAGTCTTGTCGTAAAAAAATACAGAAACTTTGTTTCTATATTCAAATTAAGTTTTTTTGTTGTTTTTTTCTTACTTTTACTAGCTTTGTTAAATTGTTGGCTGGCCATGGTTTTTGTTAAACAAATGTTGTTTTATTTAATTCAGTTAAATCAGTTTTTTCCTTCAAATCCTTTGGGTTTTCTATATAGACTGATGACTGAAATCTGACATGCTTGATTTTATGCAATTGTATGTGCTAAATAAGTGTATGTACAGGTGTAAAGGCATGAAACAATGTGCTTCTATCTATATTCTTTGTGTTTATATATACTAGAGTCTGTGGTTATTATAGTATGCATAATCTATAGGGTGCCAGTACAAGCTAGCCTAGAGGTGCCAGATTAGCTCAGGATACTGTGGGCAACTTATCTGGTAATATGATTTCTACCTAGATTTCTGACTAATGACATGTTGATTTGAGGATTCTTGAGCCACTAGAAATAGGATTGTACTTCTTGAATGTTGGGTACCAATCACAAGTGTAGGTATAAGCAAAGTATCTAGATTATAGGCTTTATAGGGTTGCACTAGAACTCATTATACAGGCCAGAACTGAGAAAGTCACACATGCTAGTCAGACATCAAGTCAGAAACAATTTAATTGGTAGATAATGTCACTTCCAGTCCATGCAGGTGGATTTATTTGGGGTTTTTGTTCATTTCAGTCCTCTCTCTGTGCACCCCTGTATCAGATGCAACTACCTGAAACTAAGAAATCAATGAACTTCAACATTTCAGGTGAAAGACCTATAGTATTATTTTTCAGGTAGTTGCATGATACATTCAAGCCTTTAAATAGTGTGGTGGCTTAAGCTACTTTTCTCACTTCCTTTCTTCACTTTCTTACTTTTTTGTCCCTAGTGAAAACTTCATTTTACAACATTTTAATTATATAATCTCTTTTTGGTCTAATTGCAGAATTATTTGATGGTGAGACAGTTCATAGTTCAACTTCTTTATTAAAGAATTATCAATTATTAGAAATAATTAATTTAGTTAGCAGTGATAAAACTATCCAGACAAGTTATTATTGTGACTTTGTAGCCAGATGGGTATGATTTTGCTTTGGCTGTTCAGCATTTTGATCCATTGTGATATGTCTTGTGGTACCTGTGAATGATTTTACCTGCAAAATGAATGACAGAATATCAGAATGTAACATTACATTAAGATACATCCTTACACTGCAATAAAATTATGTAATACTAGATGGTCAGTGTGAAGAATATGGTCTTTGACACTCTTTGTATATAATAAACATGCTATTGTGTAATGGAAATGATCAAATAAAGTTATTTCTGCAACAGCCCTTGCATTCAAACACCTTATTTGTATTTTTCTTGTTCATGCTTGAGCATCAGCCTCAGGATAAGCAAATTCCATTGGATTTGTGAGGGCACTTGAACTATATTGGGTCATTACATGAATTACAGAAAAGATTCAGACTCCCACAGCCTGTGCTACAAGTTACAGCTGTGACAGTGTAGAGGGGGGATCCACAAGTAAAATGTGCTAAAATATCCAAGGGGGGGGGGGGGATACAAATAAAAATTATGTTTAATATGACTTAAAATTATTAAGCAATTGAGTGCAAGTAAAATTATCTGGTATTGGACTGAGTAGGATAACAAAGTAGGGCATAGTGTTCCTTTATTAATCACTTATAATAAAGGTTTAAATGCCGAATTTTTTTAAAGTGCCAGAGCATGGCCAGAGTGGCAACTGGCAGGGTATTGAAAAGGTTGGTTGTGCACATGCATCCTAAATAAATACTGCTACAAAAACCTGGTAGTTAACAGTTAAAAGTTAAAACCAATCACGAATTTCATTATTTCAAAGTAATATAAAACAAAACAAGTCGGGAAAAGGATTTTGAACCCAAGATATGAGACACAATTAATACAGTATGAGAATGAGTTTGAATATAAAGAACAACAAAAAAGAGGGTACAAAGCTACTGTGATATTGTTGAAATTAGCAATATTATACATTTGCTGCTTATAACGGTAGTTTTTGACATAATGTGTTTATGCTTTTCCATCGAAATGGCAAGTTATAAAATTTGCCCGAAGCAGCCCAAGCTTTGGCAAGCTAGAACTTAAAAAAATTAAAAGAAATAAAACTTTTGTGAATCTTACCTGAAAGCAAGAAATATAATAATCCTTTGGAGTGAATTGTTTCATCTACAAGCAGACTAAAAACTTAAAACTAACACACTTTTTTCTCGACTGCAAAAATATCAAAATGTTCAGTCGAAACTCGAAAATTATGATAAAATTTTTTGCAAAAACCAGGGGGGTGAAGGATTTTACTTCAAGCGTAGGATCGCGGTTGGCCAGTGGTAATTGCCATGAGCCGGAGGAACCAATTGGCGTCAGCAAACATGAAAATCCGCCATGTTTTTCCGGACACTCGTTTGACTGAAGGATAGATAGGAGCACGTCCTCCAGTAATATTATAGCTCAGTGTTTCAGATCCTCTGTTTCAGATCAGTGACTCTCTCTCGTGCCCAAACCCTTGCGCGGCCAAAAGCTTGAACTAAGGGCGCAAAAAGCGCGCGAAAAAACAAACGAACAATGGCCTACAGCAGATTTGCTTCGCTGAATGAAAGTGAACTCTCCAAATGATTGGCAGATAAGGATAGTGAAAGCACGAAAAAAGCCACAAAGGGGTAAATAGAAGTAGAAATAGAATATTTAGCTGACCTTTGACTTTGTGCAAGGTGTTTATATACAAATTGCACTTTTCCTACCTCATGAACGGGAATCGTTTTATACGTTTCCCATGTCTTTAAATGTATAATAAAACAATTATTGGATTCGGCTTTCGCACAATATCAAGAATTATTCAGACCTTGGTCTGTATGTTATCCGGCTTGTATGTTATCCGGCTTCGCTTCGGCAGATAACTTTAATTCCCTCAGCCTTATACACAACGCATGAATTTATTTTGTATAAAAATATCGAAATTACAACATGCAAATATAATAAGCAATTATTGGATGAGGCTGCAAGCATGATATCAAGAATTATTCAGACCGAGGTCAATGTTATCATAACATTGACCTCGGTCTGAATAATTCTTGATATCATGCTTGCAGCCTCATCCAATAATTGCTTATTATATTTGCATGTTGTGATTTCGATATTTTTATACAAAATAAATTCATGCGTACAGTGTGTGTGTATAAGGCTGAGGGAATTAAAGTCATAGAATACCGTCCTCCACCTGCATGTCCAAAATGCTGCCGTAAAAAAAAAATCATCATTTCAAAATATTTCGTTATTTCAACAATTATCTACAGTTTAAACTATAATTCATCGCAGAAGTCGTGTATTAAGGGCAAAGTCTAGTTGTACAGCAAAGCTTTCGCTTTGCAGGCATTCGCTGCCTAGTTTTAAAGTTTGCTCGCATATTACTGAACAGGTTTATTGACGTTCGACCAATTTTCACACATTTCTAAAAATAATGAATAATGAATAATGAAAAAAAGCCTCATCTATTTTTGAAATTATAAGGACGGTTTCTATGACTTTAATTCCCTCGGCCTAAGGCAATTTAAGTAAACAAAGTTTATTCGTATAATCAATCCTCAGGGCTTCGGTCGTAAGGCAGCATGTGCTTTGCGATAGTAACTTCTAGTATTTACGTATAATGTGATTAATCCTGAATGTTTTTGGCTCGATAGGATTTTTGTTAAAATTGTTTAGATAATTGAGCTAGTATACTAAGAGAAATAATTTCATGAACTAAAATTTGGGGTCATGAAACGTTCTCATGAATCGTGAGCCAATCACCTTGCGTAATTTATACTAGTAATGAGATAGTATGTGTGATGTAATTATCGAAATGGTGTTATTGTTCCAGTTGACTGTGAAAGTTCCAAGGCCGGCGAGGGGGTGGGGGTGGGGGTGGCAAAATACCCGGGGCCCGGAAATATTTGAAATACACGATTTTTCGATCGATTTTTCTGCAAAAACAGTTAGCCAATCATCGTTTACATTGCGTCTTTATCAGTTATGAGATGAAATGAGGTATTTACCTGCATTGAACAAATTTATTACGTCCATCTGCTAGTACCATATGCATGCACGCCACACGCGCCATCGGCACCAAAATTCTCTGGCGATTTCTTGCAAGTAATTCGCTGGACACTGGCGATTCCCTCGTTGATTGCGATTGAAAAATAGACTTTGGTGTTGGCCATCAACATGAGAGTCAAGAGGGATGATCATGAGGGTGAAGGGGGGGGGGTCACCAATTTGTCCCGGGGCCCGTGGTTGCCTCTCGTTGGCCTCGAAAAGTTCTCCTAGCTTGAAGAAATAGTTTTAATAGATTTATTTGGATCAAATTATTGCAATATTATGCAAAGAGTTTGAAATAGACGAGAAATTTTTAAAGGTCATCTACAGTCCGATCTGCGCATGTGCACAAATGAGCCCACTTTTTATGATACAAACAGTTTAACTATGTTTTGAGTTCTTGAAAAACCTGATTGTTGTTTCTTGATCATTTATTATACTCTGGAAGCTTGAAAATATAAATAGTTGTCGAATAAAGCTCAATATTTTGGACACAAAAATGTATACGGACTGTAGATCACCTTTAAGAATGCATTATCCAGTATTTATACAGATCAGTGATGCTAAAATTCTAATAGTCCTTCCAATTTATATAGCTCAGTCACTGAGCTTAGTGCTTAGCAACCAAGCCTTTAAGATGTGATTTCCCGCGCGAGTTACACACGTGTTACACGAGCACACGCGTGTTAGACTATTGGAGCATGCGCGTTGTCATTCCTTCTCCACGTGTGTTTTGAAACACACAACATTTTATTATTTCTGTCGAAAGTTTTGTATTTTTTTGGCGAGAAAATGTTGGTTTTGTTTGAAACTCCGGCTGGATACGCTATTTTTAAGGTATGTGAATACACTGTTCAACATTTTGAAAACTTTACACGGATTATTGCCGTGTTTTTGCGGCCTTATACAACTTAAATATTTTACAAATGATCGGGCGATTCTGTTGATATGAAACTATCTTCAATATTTACTTATTATTTTCCTATGTACTGTTATTTTATGATATTATGTACAAGGGATAGTGTGATACTGTTGATATAAGTGTTGGGAGAAATAGTTTTGATAAACACTGTTGAAATTTCACAATTTGTATCATGTTCAACCATAGTTCAACTTCGCCCGTTGGCCGGTACAAAAACAAAACTTGTGGTTAAAATATTTTATAAATTTACAGTGTTACTGTTATTTCATAAAAGTACTTATAAATATATTGAATTTAACTATTAATCTGTTGTTCTCCTTAGCTACTCGATGAAGGAAAGCTTCAAAAAGCTGAGAATTTGTATCAAGAATTTGAAACGCCTGAAAGTGCCCATAAAATGTGAGTAATCTATTATTAAAAACATGATTGGTAAAAATTATTGCAGGGTACTAGGAAGGGTAATGCCATATTTGAACCTTTACCCACAGAGTAAAGTAATAAAGTAGGGCACAACACAGACTGAAATGTAACGTGTGTACATCGGACAAGTCCGATGTACAAACACAAACTTTGGTGTACATATGGTGTACATTTGTTTACATATACTAAAACTGTCTGTACTAGTACCAATGTGTAATTGCTGTGCTGGGTGGTTATATTACTACCTGAAAAAAAAACAAGCAAAAACTTGACGTTTTGAGAGAAGGCCCTTCATCAACAGTTACTAATGCACTAGTCAATTGAAACCACGGACCCCCCACCCCCGGGACATAGCGGGGGATTAGCCGGGATTTAACACTATTTAACAACATGCTATGCCCCGGAGGGCGGTGGAATTAACTAAATGTTTTTATAACCGGGGAATTGACCGGGATATAACAGCCACTATATATGAATACACCGGGGATAGTCGGGCACTGGCGAAAAACTTGTTCAACAGTTACGCGCGTTTGAAACTTTGTTTTATACTTAATCGTCAGCCTGTCAGGCATCCGTTGCTGTTAATATTCAATAAGCATCAGGCATCGCCTTTTCCATTGTTAGAATAATATAGTAAAATGCCCTGTGTGTCAGAGAAAACATGGGCAGCTTAACAGCGGTTTTTCGCTTATTTTACATTTTGCTCTATCATTTTCAGATCTCAGTTTTTCTTTTGCTCCTTAAAAAACTCACAGCAAGCTAAGGTAGACTTGGTGACTAATCTGTAGGGCCATGTAATTGATAACTATATAATTATATACAGTACTGTATTTAAACACCAACCTCGAATACTTGACGGAAATTCAATCTGGAAGACCGGTAACTCAAATGCATGCATGATGCGGAAGTTGTCTTGTATTTATAGTTTGTATATTGAAGCCTGGCTGTATGGGGGTTTTAACAGAACAGTTTGCCCCAGGGAAGGGGGAATTGGGTCATTCCAGAAAAGATCCATACCTCCCCCCCCCCCCCCACGGAGGAAATTTTTGCTGTCCGAAGGGGGAGGGAGGAAAAATGTGTTAGGATGTCCGAAGGGGGGGGGGAGGGGAGGAATGTGGATATGTTTGTCTGAAAGTTTGAGACTGTAATAAAGCTATGTGATAGGCGATTATAATGATAAGGAATTTTTATCGGCTATATGTAGCTGTTGAACACCGGAATGTTTATGTAACAGCAATAATTATACGTCCACGTAACTCGTAAGCAAAATAAGCGGCCCACTTTTGCATGCATGGCCACCAAAAACTAACTTGCTGTAACCGCGTATCCTGCATGTTGAGAATGAGTCGAAAATTGACACGCTTTATTTATATAAAAGTAAAGTTTTGCAGTTTTCATTCGTATATATAAGTTTGAATTATTCAAGTGTTAAATATAATAGTTATTAAACTTTTGCTCGAATTAAGAGACTGCTATGTGAACTGAACTCAAAACAATTTGTTTTAGTATATAGTCAATAAAGCTTCCTTGCGAGGTGCGTGTCTAGAAAATAGAAATGGCTTCCATATTAAGGGCGAGGTTAAGGAACTCATTAACTGGCAAGCTGTTACAATGTTACCACCCCCTAAAGTGGCAAGCAATATGGCGAATTCATGATTGAATTCCAAGCTTTCACCAAAATGCCAATATCTCAGAAACAATTGCATAAAAAAGTCTGATCTTTTCAACCAAACATGAATGATATATGATTGACCAAATTTAGTTTAGATGACCTTGCATACCTATATATATCATTAGTTTTTTCAGTCAGTACTTTTATTTATAAAGCAGTGACACTTTGTTTTCCATGTCACTCATCACCTAAAGGGGCAATATCTCCATAAATTTATATAAAAACCAAAAAAAAATCATTTACTAAATTAATACATATCTATATTACAACCAATTTTCATCTTTTGGGATATGAATTATGAAATTATCAAAAAATTTAAAAATTACTTCTTTGCTTTTTTGGGGCATCTTGTTTACAACATGAAATTTATAACAGTAACTAAGTGTTCAAGTTCAACAAAGTGTGCAAGCCAAAACACAGTGTTTATACATCTTTAAAGTTTTTTGATTGCTTCAAATATATTTAAAAAGACACATAGTGCTTAAAATTATTTATTTTAATATAAACCAAGGATGGGAAGGTGAGAAAATGGGAATTTTCTGAGGTGTTTTTAACACAGACAATGACAGCCGACATTTTGAAAGCTATTCTAACTAAAAGCTATTCACTTCTGTACTCAAAGCACTGAAAAGCATCATAAAGAGAAAAACACTTTAAACACATGCCAGGTAAGACTTTTAGCTCAATATTTTCATGCTTCTATTGGGAAAACAACGGTTTAAAAGCCAAAATTATTTTGCGCGCCAATGTAGGCTGCTATAAAATGTCAGACAGGCGGTTTCTTTTGAAGTCTGGCTCTGAAAAACAATCTCCTTTTTTGAGTTTGAAATAAGCCTTCATAAGGACTATTGTGTAGAAATGTTATCTATATCCTTACATGAAAAAGGTAACCTAATTTTCAGGTATTCCACATAGCTATAAAAGGGTGAAATAAGAAATTTAATCTTTGGTTGTTTGTCAGACATGAGAAACCACATTAGTGCCATTTTGTCGCGCGTGCTATTTTATAAAATAAACACCTC